ACAAAGGTCTGACATCAAAGTAACATGCCTCGTTCTCTGTTAAGCTCTTAACTAGGCAGTTGATTGACTGTGTTTTTAAATATGCTATTAGTGAAAACTGGATTTGAAACCGTGTAGCGTAGTTTTTACGAAGTGTTAAAGCTTTCTAAAGGGATATCCAGTGTTTCTTGATGTTAAATAATTGTTTAAATGATGTCAGAATCCCTTCTCATTCTTGAGCAAATGTTCGATGCACTAGATGGATGATGAATTTGAAAAGAATTTGCAAAGCCGATAGTCCACATTGGTTTTTCTTACGACTGAGTAGTTTTTCAACTGGTCAGTTGTAATTTCAACAGACTCTTCATTGTAAATAAAGGTCAAGCAAATTGTATGATTTATGAAGAAATAAGAAAGTTTTTTTTGAAAAATCGAGCATCTATATGAGCTGAATTTGTTCAGGTACACTGAGTGATGAAATGAACTCTGGATGTACAAAGCAACTCTACAACTTTGACAGCACTTTGTTCTAGCTACTGAAATCTATACTAAATACCGTTCGTAATCTTCTACCGAATATGGTATTCTATAATCTCCGTCATTTGTTACATGTAATCACGATAACTTTGGTATGAAAATCACTTCATTATCTCTGCTTGTTTCAATCGATAATAAACATTATCATTGTCGTAAGTGTATTTATCATAAAAGGCGAATAATTTTAGTAAAATACTTATTGTTGTTTACTAAGGTGCAGAAATTCATTGCTCCGCTTTGTGATTTTGGATGCAGTTTCAGAATATCTCGGGTGATATTCGATGGGAAAAAACTTTATCATGTGCTGCACATCAAGAAGAAATTACAGATGACTTAGAGAATTGTGTTTTTTTATGAGGCACTTGAGTGCTGGCTGACAGATGTATAAGAATAGTTGACAATACCAGGTTACAACCACTCTGGATATATGACCACAGAACCTAACCAGTAGCTTCTTGAAGTCGTTCATACCAAATCTTTTTTGACGCTTTCTCTTACTTGAAGAAATACCCTTACATATTGCAGCGAAAATTCATGAGGCAGAGATTTATGTGCTGTTTTTAAAGATAACTCTTCCTTCCGAAAGACAGCCCAACGAAATCGACGTAGAACCTCGCACACTAGTGATTTGGTTCAAGTTGCCGCACTCTCCAGTAGAAAATAATGAACAGAGGAGGTAGAATAAGATTGATATCAAAGTTGTTTGAGAGAGTAAGCAATTTGGAAATAACGATTAGAGCGAATATCCAACCTTTAGAAGATGTCAATGAGTGAATACATCTGGACGATTGTCACCGATCTTCAGCTACGCCAAAAACAGTCTTAAGCTACTGATTCGTATCGTTTCAGGAACCCTAACCAGACGGCATACATCTCCTCACATGCTTCAGATGAAGAGTCAGGGACTTCATTCACTGGTGCCACTTTTCCTCTGGTCACCCTGAACCCTCTAAAAACTAATCCACCTTCCTCTAGCATGACAAGTCGGGGTACGTGGCTGTGGCTCGGCATGTGCAGCAACTGTCCAAGTCATTTCAGCCAGCGAAGGTTCATAATCTCATCAATCGACTTGACTATCCTGCCTACTTATCTGTTCCCTTAACACAAGAAAATGTTATTCACTCAATGTAAAATTAAATCTACCAATAGTTGATTTTCAAACTTTATTTATGTATTCAGAAGATATTTGCTCGTCCCTTTACTCTCCCATCGCCTTCAACCCAGATACAATTACAATAAATTCCTTTCCGGTCACCCGAATAAATGTAAATATTATCTCTGTTTGTACTCTTATCATTACCACTTTATTTTTCTCCATTAATTTCATAATTAGTTAATAATTTTAACATTTTATTATCTAATCATAATTCGAGAATAATTTTATTTCCCTCTATCCCTGCACAGACTGAATTAACTCACTCACACACCTAGAAAGATTGACTACTGAGAATATATATAAACTTCCTGAGATTTTGTTTTGTTATTATCACTTGGACTATTAATTTAACCATGTTGGCATCAAATGAAGATTATGCTGAATAATTTGTAAATGTAATAAAGCCTGATGAGAATTTACCGAAATTACGTATTCGCTTCAAATTATCATCTCATAGCATGCACGTTTGAAATTATGCTGAAAAATATAAACTACTCATAAGTAGGCAGTTTCATAATCGACATATTTTTCAACCTTGTTGAATTGACGTCAAAAGTAATGCGTTCAGTGTATTCATTTTTATATGATTCGTGAGAAAGAAACAAAAAGAATGTCAATAAAACACGATAATTAATAATTGGCAATAATAATAGTAACATTGATAAGAATAACAATAATAGCACAGACAATAATAATGATGATAATGAATCAAGAGAAATGACCAGAAATCATGACACAATGATAATATGACAATAAATATAAGGCAGGAAGAGAAGCAAGATGATGGGAAGTATTTATCTCAAAAAAATAATGATGATAAAACTTATTTTTTTTTAAATTTCAACGAGTAAAACACGTTCTCCTAGTAGAAAAATAACAGGGATAATGATGTTGTACAACAAAGTACACACACACACACACATATATGTGAACATTGTTACATAGAGAAAAAGCGAAGGGAGTAAAGAGAGACCACATTATAAAAAAGCAGTAGAATCTTTGAACATGAAGGCAATAGGCGAAAAGAAACAGAATGATTTCTATGGGAATATAATTTTGGCGCATACCACAATATTACTACTCTTAATAATTAATAATAACAATAATAATGATGATGACAAGAATTAATCTTATCTTGACAAAATCTATTAACGGTTGATTAATCAGTCAACAACAGAAATGGACTAAAAAATATCTGAAGGCTGGAGAAAAACAAACAAAAACATCAAAAAGAACAACATGTACTACTGATATATATACTACTGAAATGATGAACACAAGATATTTATTTATTCTGAGAAGAGATTGAAAGATAAGATAAAATACACACAGAAAGCATGATTATCTTGAAGGTGTAAGTTGTAAAGTTGTACAAGTCTATCGATTACGTAATACCATAGTATAAAAGAACAATGCAATAATAGTAATAACAATGATGGTAACACTAAACATTGCATAACAAACATTTTGAACCGGTTGAAGAAAAACAAAAAGACTGATGAAAGCAGCTAACTTTTCATTTGGATAGAGTAATAACAAGGAGAATAGCAACTGGAAAAGTATCAAACACAAAGAAAAGCATAAAGAATAGATGAAAAACTGAAAAATACTCTCTTCTTTGAGTGTACACGTGAGTATATTTACGTAGACAGAAAATAGGAAACAATTATTCATTCTTCTATGTTATATATGTACACTAAAAATTATCTAGTCAAAGACACTGAATAGTTAATAACTTGAAACATATCTAGGCATAGGACAAAGTGTAGTGTTGTTCGTTCTTTCAAGTGAAGAAAATAATTACAAAACGACACACACACACGCACGATGATGATAAAGATGAATAAAAATCAAAATAGACATAGACACATACAAGTGTATATGCACATCAGTCTATAAATCAACCACCTACACATTTTAAATTAACCACTACTTATTGTTCAATGTTCAACAGACACATGCGGTAGCACGACCGCGCGTCAATTATTTTTACTAATTGAACCAATCAATGATTACATGAATATCTTATATTAGTATTCTGTATCGTTTTATAATACTTTACACTTAAATGAGTAGAAGACAAGATTTTCGCTTTTTCTTATCTTTTTCAAAAATAATACGTATCAAGATGATGATGATGATGATTAGAAGAAATGTATCACTTTGTATAAGTGTGTGTGTGTGTGTGTGTGTATGTATGAGTACATAAACATGGCTGCACTCTACAACAGTTGGTGTAAAACTTGACAGAAGTGAAAATAATAAAGAAATAAGAGAATAAAGAAAGGCAACAACAACAACAAATTAAATCGTCAAAAAAAAAATTGAAAGAATTTAGAGTATAATAAAATAAGTGAAGTAAATTAGGCGCTTTACTTGTTTCTGTTTATCAATAAAAACACAAAGGTTTAATAATAGTGGTGATCATGATGATAATGATAACGGGTGAGAGTAGAAATGGTAAATCTAGTCAAGACACATCGATGTAAGGACACACAGTTACATCGTCAGATATGCCAAAGGGAGAAAGAAGCACACATGAAATACACATACACACACACATATACACCGAGAGAGACAAGACTATTCAATAGTGTGCCTGTTCAGAAAAAAGAAGAACGATCTAACACATAATATGCTGCTGTTGTTTTATTAGTTGCTGGGTTAATTCTGTATTTCCCTCTATAGGATTAACACATAAAAATCTCTGAATATCATAGTCATACATACAATAATCTTAGCAAATAATTTGAAAAATAGGCAGAGAAGAAAATCTCTTTTTCACTCATTACTTCAAACCTCTAGATAGATAGATAGACAGACAGACAGATAGACAGGTGGATAGAGAGAGAGACAGGCGAAAGCAACAAAAATGATCAGGCAATAAAGTGTGCGCGTGCACATACACACACACAGATGGATAAACATTGTTGCACAGACTTTTCTCGTTGTGATTATCGACGAAGTCGATCAGCAGATGAATAGAAATAACAAAAAGAAAAGACAAGATAAATGTATCTTCTTCAATGTGAGGAATAAGGTAAGAATATAGATCCTTTCCATGAAATGAAACAAACAAAAAAATAAATTTATATATAAGTCATACTTTTTTTCTATTTACGAATAATTAAAAGTGAATTTTAATTTTTCAGTTTATCACAAACAAACAAAGAAAAGAAATAATGTTTCATCACCCTTTAGAATCTTCTTTTTACTACTGATATGATGCTGATTAGTAGTATCGACAGTAATAATAGTAGTAGTAATAGCAGGAACGGCAACATAACTGGTATCAGATGATAGATATTCACCAAATTGACAATATTAACTAATGATGATGATGATTTTGGTATCTTTTATCACTGTGCGTTTTCATATGAGCATTACGAGATTTAATTTTATTGAAAATTTTATCGCAGATATGACATGTATAAACTGTTATTTCACATTGTTCCCTATTCATCATTAATACTGATGAAGATATAATCGATGATGAAGATGTTAGTAATGATGGTGATGATGTAATCGATAGGGCAACAGGATATTTTGATGTACTAACTACTGATAATGATATTGTAGAAGGTGATGTGAATGAGATTTGTGAAGTGGAAGCACCACCATCATCACCACCAGCTGTAGTAGTGATATACTTAAACGATTCTGATCCATCAATTGGTTCAGTCTAGTGAAATCGGAAAAGACTGTTAAAATTAAATAATTATTGATTGATAAAAGAAGACAATGATAAAATTTAAAAATTGATCAATTTTCTGAATAAGAACAATAATATCAATAAGAAAAGTGATTATTCTTTGTAATCAATCTTCCAGTTGTTAAACTGGATCGAATTGTCCGACTAAACTTGGCATATAGGTCCATATACGGATGCCTCGATATTATCTGAATATTCATTCTTATCATTGACTTCATTGTTAGCAACAGTAGAGCCTAAGATGTACATTTCCCCCTTTTAGGAACTCATCAGTTGGTGATATACCTGCACCCTAGTGTGGAGTGATGTTATTCTCTTTGAGACTTGAATCTTGCACTAATCGCTTTCAACACTCGTTGTACAAGATGTGACTACCGTGCCTCAGTGGCATATTTGAAGCGATGGATATGAAGTTCGAGTGCCAGTGGATAAAATATCACTCACTCGAGTGCAGGTACATCCACTAGCTGACGAGTCCCAAATAGGAAGAAACGGGGAACGTGGATCCTACAGTCAATTCAATTATAACAAAATAAAATTTTATTGAACAAGCATTGTTTGACACATTTTTTAACTTCGTGTAGCCTCATGAAAAGGTTAGTGCTGAAATGTTTACGATAAAACATAGAAGCTCAAAGAACACCTCATCCTGAACTGCAAATCCTCCCCCTTATAAAATTGGAAAAAATAAGCAACAAGGAACTCTGGGAACGAACCAACCCAGAACCTATCACGCAACAAATATGCAGGAAGAAGTGGAGATGGATTGACCATGCACTGAGAAGGCCGACTGAGGACATCACGCGTCAGGCCAGTCACTCGAGTGGAATCCCCATGGGAAGCGACGAGTTGGACGTCCAAGGGTGACATGGAGGAGGTCGTGCGAAGAGAAAATGAGAGCTTGTGGGCTGTCGTGGGACCAGGTTCAAAAGATCTCAGAGAACAGAGGTCACTGGAGGCGTGCTACTGAAGCCCTATGTTCCACTAGGAACCCAAGGGACTAATAATAATAATAATATAAAATTGGTTGCACTCCAGTAACCAATCACGTTATGTAATACATTACAATAGGAGGTGAACCACAGTTAGAATAACTCAATGACAACGTCGCTGACTGTGACACTGGGTGACGGGGGTTGCATTCTCACAGGGGACATCATTTGCTTCAAGGTTCGTGGATACGCCTTCCTGACAAATGCCAATAAGCACAAAACCTAGGTCAAGTACGACTTCTAGTCGATCGTCTGCAACCTACTAACATCCTTCTTAAGTATATAATAAGTATGTGTCCTTATATCAGCTGATTAAAAAAGGCATTGTCCGCTGGGGGGGATGGGGTTGTGTCGGTATTTTAATCCAGATGTAAACACTTAATCATGTTGGCTAATCGATAAAACTGATTAATTTCTAATCAACATTTATTATAATTCTCTTGTTAAAATGGAGTTGGATAATAAAATAATCATGTACATCACACTAATAATAAGCCAAATTATGGATGTAAAATAGTTGAGATATTTGATACAGATAGATACAACACAGGAAATTGGTTGATATGTAGGAAATAAGCATCTATGATTCGTTACTGTGCAATTAAACGCAGAACCATGGGTTAGATAGAAAGTTTAATGGTTCACGACTGAAATTTAATATTAGATGGATTGAAGAAAGTCCTAGGTATATGAATATCGTTGCTTTCATAACATCCTTTGAGTACCGAAGAAGCACTATGTAAAGCAATGGAAAGGTTAGTTGTAGTGTAGTGGGCGTTGCTGATAATAATGGATATAAGTAGCATATGTTGAGAGGGTGACAGGAATCATAGGGAATTACCGGCAGTGGATAAGGTTTCTGCCAAGAGCAACGCAAGGGACAACATAGGCGTACTGCAGTGAATGCGACTGATAAGAATGTATGAAGAGCAGATCAAGAGAGGAACAGAAGAGGAACGAAGGACATTTGTAAATGACTGGGTCAGGACAAGGTGTACCATATGTAATGACTACCGTTTCCGTCGTGTTTGTCTTCTCTCTCTTCAGTAGAATATTGAGACGTGAAGTCACTAAGGTCGCTGGTTGAAATGTTTGACACGTACCGACTCCTCGTCTATTCCAGTAAGATGGACAAAAATATGATACGAATCCATAATATCTTTGAATGCTGGCTGTTCTGAGCTGTAAGACAGGACAGGACAGAATGAACTGCAATGCAATATACCTGCCCGATAATAGATAGTTGGATATCTTCCTAGTCGGCACTACAGATGACGCGAGTTAGTGAAAGCTGAACGGGCCTTCTGTATCAAAGCTGAGATTTCGCCAGCAACCAGCGAGGTCAACCTGATGGAACACTCTAACTAGGTGAAGTGGTCGACATATTCAACCACTTTACTCACTGAGAGTAGTTATATGCCAGTGCTGATGCATCATATTATATATGACAAGTGTGAAACGCATGCCAAACGTACACGAATTTCTGCCCAACGCGTTCAGAAGACCATGCAATTTGTCAGCATTTTCAACTAGCATGACGATATTGCCTACACACCTTAGGTCAACCAGTTAACTGCCTAGTTGGTTGAAGGTTACATAGGTTGTATAAATAAAAATCGACTGTAACATTAAGTAACGCAAATGAATCCATCGAATCGAAATCGAAATGCACTCAGAAAGGCTGTGCACATTCATACGGTTGACAGTGAGCCACACCTATTGTGTGCGTGTGTGGAGGGGGGGGGTAGTGACATTACCTGGCTGGTCAAACCTCGGGAGAAGAGGGATTTGATCCCGCTACCCACTTTATTGAAAGTCATCTCTCATACCCAATGAACTACAACTACACTAATGAAAAATGTTTTCTATTCATCCGAATCCTTATATTATACTTTTGAATTGCCTTTCAATCAATTTTCTCGTTATCATATCGTTTAAAGGAATAATAGTTACTCTTGTTGTTGCTAACATCTCCACATTTTGAGGTGTAGTAATGTGGATTGTGGTCAATTGAACCCCTGTCAGCTTCTGACAAATTTATTCAACTGATAGTATATAATGAAAAAAAGATATAAGTAAAGAAATTATTAAAAAGCGATTGTCTACATTGTGGATATTATCGAAAGCTCATTTCCTAACATCACAAAGAATGACTACTTAAACTGATATAAGTAGTAAACTGTGAGTTCAATAATTCTAAACACTCAAAAAACAATCTACCTATGAAAATATCCGACATAGAAATGGTGGGGAATACTTGTAGCTCAGAAGGATAGTCTTAGTTGCATTGTGTTCTCTGAGCTGAGTTGTTCAGTCGTGAAGCTTTCATCGTCTTGCTAGACAGCGACATCATCAACACCAACTTCAGTATGAAGTCAGCTATCAATATCTCTCCACAAGTGATTTAGTAGCCTGCTCTGACCAACTGGTTTGTGATTGGTTGTTTCCTTTGATTGTTGTCTCATTGACTGACTGCATAGATTTTCCTGTTGGTTCTCCCTCTGATTGACCTCTCGTCTTCCTGTCTTTTATCATTTTTCTCCTTAATCGATAGATTGGGTCTATGTCTATACATCTATTATTTGCTGACTAACTGACTGAGCTGAATGCCAAGCTTCTAGGAATTCTCTGACATTCTTTGTGTTTCCCCTCTCACTCCAACATTTCTACATTGTCAAAATTGAATTCACCTCCATGGTTGTTATCCACGTGCATTAAAATGAGTGACGAAATGTCATGTGTGACGTTTAGTAGCCAATTGGTGTTCATGTAAATGACGAAGTCGAAGAGTACGACCACTTTATCCAATGTAGTCTTGACTACAGTTATTACAGTTGCTTTTGTGAATGATATTCGGTTTGTCTGTCTTCTTTGGTTGTTGCATCCTTTGGTTTGCATAATAGTGTTTGGAGGGAATTTGTTGGTTTATGAGCCACACCAATTCCAAGTGGTCTCAGTAATCTTGTCGTGATTTTTGATATGATCTTCATGTACGGTAGGATGATGCGTTTATTGGTTTCTGTCGATGACTTTGTAGTTGATGATGTACGGGATAGGCATGTTCTGATAACGTTTCGTGGGTAGCCGTTCTTCTTTAAGATGGACATCAAGTAATTTTCTTCGTTTCTCCGTGACATTGTTGTACTGAAGTGTGTCCTCGCTCTTTTGAATAGTGTTGTTGGGTTGTTGCTACTGTAGTTGAGGAGTTGATCAGTGTGTGTTGGCTTCCTGTACACTTGGGTTTACAGCTTTCCGGCATTTGTCCTACTGACTAAAATATACACGAATGGTAGTTGGTTGTTTGACACAGGAAACACAAAGAATGTCAGAGAATTCCTAGAAGCCTGGCATTCAGCTCAGCTCAGCTCAATTCAGTCAGTCAGTCAACAATCAATAGATGTATAGACACAGACTCAGTCTACCAACCATTGAGAAAAATGATAAACGACAGAAAGGTGAGAAGTCAAGCAGAGGAACAGCCAACAGGAAAATCTGTGCAGTCAGTCAATGAGACAACAATCAAAGGAAACAACCAATCACAAACCAGTTGGTCAGAGCAGGCTACTAAATCACTTGTGGAGAGATATTGATAGCTGACTTCATACTGAAGTTGGTGCTGATGATGTCGCTGTCTAGCAAGACGATGAAAGCTTCACGACTGAACAACTCAGCTCAGAGAACACAATACAACCAAGAATATCTCACATTCTTCTATACAACTGACATTACTAATTATGCTTGAAACCATATTCATCCCTGACACATAGACTGATGGATAAATGCACTCAATCATAGAAAATTGAATATTCATCTATCAACTCCACTTACTTCATCATTGAAGACAATATCCATAAAGTCATCGTAGGAATTCTCTAAAACATTGTCATTACTATTGTTGTTCATTTGATTATCATCATTAGTATTACCACTATTATTATTGTTAATACTGTCATTATTCACAGGGACCAATTCATGTAATCTTGAGTTTGCTGAAGGTGGCGGGGCAGCTGTAACGGGAATAGATAGTTGTTGTGTAGTGACAGTGCCACTAACAGTGGCAGATGTAGTTGTAGTGTGTTTACGACGTAAATTATAAGGCACGTTGGTGGTTGAATTATTCTCCAGTGATTGAATTGCATTTACATCGGTAAATGTATTACATTGTTGTTCAATTGCTTCAAATTGTTCACACAATGACTCCTCTGTGATAATTGGTTCAATACGTGTAGCAGAAGTAGTAGTAGTTGTTGTACGCTGACGACGAGCACGATCCCGATACCTTTTGAGGGGGGGGGTAGATAAACAGATAAATAAAAGTGATAAAGTTGGCTCTAATACAGTTGTGGGGGGGGGGGGTCAGATTTATTCAATAATTTAACGAAATCAATTTAGCCACCTTGTGCACATTCATGTAGAAGGCAGTGAACCACTACCAGGTTGCTGCTCAAATCTCACCAGGTGGAGCAGAAATTGAACTTGTGACCCACAGCAGGTTGACAGTCATCTTCGTAAATTAATGAGCTATAGATTTGACCAATCTAGATCTAGGTGTAAGCGTCCGTCACTATGTCAAGTTGAGCAATACGAAATAATTGTATCACACTGAATTTGCATGATATTTTCGTACAAAGCTAATCGGATCTAAGTGAGAAAAACCTGATTACATAATTGCAGGAATCAACAAAACCTCCACTTTACGAAAAATCAGTAAGAGATAGATAAGATCCGAATACAGAGAAAAAGCGGGGGGAAAAAGCATTGAGCTGGATACCTAATGAATAAAACTCTACCTTGAAACGTGGAATTCAGTTCAGAGAAACAAGCAAGTCACTGTTTTACTTCCCCATCGAGTAAAGTAAACTGTTTTTCTACTTTGAACAAGTGCTGCGCATGCCAAGCCACCGATGCCTACCTCGACATGGCGTGCTAGGAGAAGTAAAATTAGGTTGGAAAAGGGTTCAGGGTAGCCAGATCGAGGACATAGAACCAGTCCATGAAGTCCTTGACTGTTGGTCTATGCCAAGTGGAGAAATGTAGACTGCCTGGTTGGGGTCCATGAGATGATAAGAATCAGTGGTTGAAGACTCTTAGTAACATGGGTGAAACTCAGTTACAGTGGTGCAGATGTTATCACTCTTTGACGTCTCTTAAAACTTGAATATTCGTATTCACCATTATCTTCCCCCAAACAACTTTGTTAACTTTAGCATCAGTTTCTAACTATCCACCTGTTCTTTGTGTGTTACTGGGGTGTGTGACAACTTGAACCGATGCACTTGTGTGTGAGGTTCTGTATTGATTGTGTGTTTGTCTGTTTATCATCTTTCCACTTTTAGAGAACTGAAATGTAATGTAGAAAACTGTTGGACAGTTCAAAAATAGGTGGGGGGAGGAGGAAGGAACAGTTTATATGGTTCACTCTTAACTGTCTACAACCATCAAACAACAAGTTTAATGAACAGTAATACTGAGTACCTCAGTTGAGTACACTTTGAAAGAGACTTTCATCATGTATCGTAATCCGTCTGACAGCTATTAAAAACTTAACAGCACTGGATTGTTGATTTCGTCCTGATTGAAAACCCATCCCTTCCTGTTAATACTTGCTAGTGACTTACTTTGAAATGAACTCCTCTAAACATTCTAGGGAGAAGGTATGGTTCAAGCAGCTCAGATTTCCACTTCAGCTTCAATGATCGTCTAGTTTCAATCTCAGATAATCAAAGTGATAATTAATGTATTACGTACGCACACGAACAAACAATGCAACAATGTATGTTTTATAGAGACAAGTTAAAACATGCTTCACTGTACTTTAATGTAGAAGGATGATATTATCAATGAAGAATTGAAAAGTGATTTGGATTTTTTTTGTCAAATCGACGTTTACACTATTGTGCCTACCAACCCCTCTCCTTTTCCATCTCTCCTGTACCTTTACTTTTTCGTCTCCTCTCACACTAAATCATGTATTCATATACATAGAAAAGATCAAACTCATAAAGAATTATAACGATGAAGTAGGCAAAAGGTATAGTTGTGTACTTTTAAGTAACCCCCCCCCCTAGTGCCATCAAAATATTTCGTTTGAAGTGAGACAGAGGGAGAAAAGTGCCTGTCATCATCGACTAAGCATTTTTATGTTAATTTTTCGCGCGACATTAAAACATTAATTAGAACAATAGATTTCAATCAAACTAACACGAAACAATAATTACGACGAGAGAGAGAGAGAGAGAAAGGTAATTTATATTGACTCTTTATTGTAGATATGGTGAACAGATCTTAAGAAAATTAGTTGATGCTAGAGATTTGAGCTGCGAGCACACATACATACACACATACAAACAAAAATACAAGTAGGTTCAATTCCAAACAAGCTGTAGTAGACCATAGAACAACATACACATACATACACACAAACCAAAGCAAACAACAAACACTATGACGTGATGATACAAAGTTATTTGGCTAATGAGTCAAGACAATTTTCTGTTAAAACAGTAGTATAAACTAATATTAACTCTTTGTTATACAGCTTTCGACAGGAATGAATCAACTTTACAACACAGTTGGAGTAAATTGACTATTCTTTATTTATTTTTATAACCTCCCCTGGTTAACTAGTTCGCAAGTTACTAGCCGGTGCTAAGCCCGTACAAAGAGGGAAGGTTGGGCATACGGCTAGCAACTCTACCCCGTAAAACCAATCCAATCACTAAAGAAACTTCACAACACAAACAAAATATAAAACATAAAAACAAAATTATTCCTCACTGGAATCGGGGAGACGAAATGACACCGGTTGCTGAAAGCCTTCGGGAAGCCGATTGGCCGATTTGTCTTCTCTCTCTCAATGAAAGCGAAAGCAAACGTGGGGACATGGAATGTCCGCACCATGTTTGAACCTAGCTGGAAAGGCTGCCCAGATTGCAAACGAGATGAAGAGGTATCACATTGAAGTGCTTGGAATTTGCGAAAGTAGATGGAATGGGACAGGACTCTCTAAACTGTCAACTGAAGAATCAATAATCTACTCCGACATCACCCAGACGACAACCACGAGCACACTGAGCTTTGGAGTGGTTATCATGATGTCCCCAATAGCATCGAAGGCTCTCATACAGTGGGAACCAATCTCATCCACGATCAGGATCATGACAGCAAGGTTCAACTCAAAAGGAAGGAAGGTCACAATCATACAATGATACACTATGCACCTACAAATAATGCAGATCAATAGAAGGAGGAGGAATTCTACAGACAACTTCAATCAACAATGGACAAGACCTCAGTTGGGGATATCAAAATTCTAATGGGCGACATGAATGTCAAACTGGGAGTGGACAACACAGGAAGAGAACTAACCATGGGTCGAGAAGCGCTCGGTGAAGTGATGAACGAGAATGGAGCATTGTTTACAGAATTCTGTGCATTCAATAATTTGGTGATTGGAGGCAGTGTGTTCAAGCACAAGGATATCCACAAAGCGACATGGATTTGATTTCACCAGATGGACACACTAAAAATCAGATTGACTCTATTTCAATGTGAAGAAAGTGGAGACGCAGCCTACTTGACACAAGGTGAAGAAGAGGAGCAGATATAGGTTCAGACCACTATCTAGTGCAAGGAACCTAACTTCAAAATCAAGTTAAAAGCCTTCAAGGAAGCTGGTGATAGACCACAGTTCAAGTACAACAACCAGAACAGAAACTCAAGGACAAAACTACAAAAGAAATCTTCACGTCACTCAGCCATCAAGATAAAATGGGACATATCGAGGGATATCCGTGAAGAAACCTGTGTGGAAGAACACTGGAACTCTTTGCAAGAGATGTGGAGAGAAACCTGCATAACCGTATTAGGAAGGAAGAAGAAAGAAGACAAAGAGTGGAATGGATCTGGATGGACACATGGAAGCTGGTAGAGCAGGAAGAGGAGGATGGTGAAACAAGATAAATCAGTGTAGTGCAAGGATGAACAACGAGAAGAGGGGTTGAGTACAATGCATAAAACACTGGACAATGAAGTGAAGAAGAGTGCACGCAAAGACAAAAGACACTTCTACGACACATTGGCAAGTGAAGCAGAATAGGCTACCGGCTGGTTGAAGAGACCTGACAACATTGTATCAAATAACCAGGTTACTATCTGGAAGGGAATAGCTCAACGCAGATGAAACCAATAAAAGATGGTGAAGGAAATATAATTACCAAAGAAGAGAAACAAAGGAAACGATGGGCCGACCACTTCAACAAGCTCTCGAATTGACCACCACCTGCACCTCGTCCAGAAATACCATCTGCAGCCGCTGAACTACAAGTGAACAAAAATCCTCCAACAAAAGTGGAAGTCCTGAGTACCATAAAGCTACTGGAATGTGGGAAAGCAGCAGGACCAGATGGAATCTCACCAGGAGCACTGAAAACAGACGCAGAGACAACAGTGGACATACTCACACCACACCACTATTGTAGAAGGTGTGGAAGGAAGGGAAAGTACCTGCCATTGATTGGAAGAAAGGCTACCTTGTCAAACTGCCGAAGAAGGGAGACCTCAGTGTTTGCAAGAACTGGTGCGGAATCACTCTCCTGTCCACCCAGAGCAAGCAAAATATTAAGCCGCATCATCCTGGAGAGACTAACGTAAGCACTGGATTCAAAACTACGACCGAAACAGGCTGACTGGCTTCAGGAAGTACAAATCATGTGCAGACCAAATTGCAACGCTTCGCATCATCATAGAACAGAGCATAGAATGGCAATCAGCTCTCTACCTCAACTTTATCGACTTTGAGAAGGCCTTTGACAGCGTCGACCGAGAGGTAATTTGGAAACTGCTTCACTACTACGGAATACCGCAAACCTTCATCCGCCTCATTCAACAACTATATTAAGATACCATATACCAAGTAATTCACAATGGGAAGCTCAATGATGCCTTTGAAGTGAAGACAGGAGTGAAACAAGGTTGCCTACTATCCCCCATGATATTCCTGATTGTGGTCGACTGGATCAGGCAGCAAACAGTGGGCAGCGAGAAGAGGGGGATACGCTGGACGGTGGAAAAGAACCTAGAAGACTTGGATTTCGCCGATGACTTGTGCCTGATGTCACATAAACTTGAAGATCTACAGGCAAAAACTAACAAGTTGATAGAAGAGGCAGCGAAGACGGGACTTCAAGTGAACATAGAGAAGATAGAGGTGATGGAGATACCCAACTAACACCACCACCACCACCAACAACAACAAACTCCAATCACCATCAATAGGAG